TTTTTTTGTAGGTGAAAATTTACAGCATCTATCATTTCTCTTGGTGCGCGCTTCGAGTTTTCAAAATGTTGTAAAGAAAATCCAAATAAAGACAGTGTTGAAGCTGTTGGTGCGTTACATGATCCACACTGCACCTCTCTCGCCGGTAATACGACAAAAATCTAAAATTGCGGCAAAAGAAAGAATATATCGCAAAGTGTATATGTATCGACAGCTTTTGGGTMTTTTCTTTGTTTGTGTGTAGCACGTCACGAAATACGATTTATCCATGTGAGTTGTGCCATTCTTTGGAATCAATTCGACTGCATGATCTTACGGACCCGTACGTACCTTCCACTTGACTTGAATGCTCTGTGACGATTTAGGAACTAAGCTGGTTATGACAGGAACACCGGTAGGCTCTGGAGGAAGGAGGAAAGGACATAGATTGCATTAAGAGAAGGTAGAGATCTGTGACTAACGATACGGTGGTGATACCTCTATTAATTAAGCGGAAACCTTCGAATCTTTTTTCATGGTGCATGATATGCAACTACATAGGGAATTCACAAATGATTGTAAGACAACTGTAATTGATGTTTGAGATAGAACACATCTACAGTGATCATCCATTCAAAATGCTGCATCCCAACACTGTCACGGTAACGGTACTCAATGACATGATCCATCAAATCAAGTCCAATTTCATAGTTGTATCATATATTTTCAAGCAGTTTCACTCATACGCGACTGGATAAATTGGCTCTCACCCTCATTACTTAGACTAGCTACTTACTGGCGATTGATGTCCTTATAACTTGCAAACTGCTCCATAACCCATAGCCAACGACGCTTATCGCCCTCATTTCCACAGAGTAGTTTGTGTAAGGCTTGAGATATGCCAAGTTATAAGAAGATGATGTGCCTCGAACATAGATGATGGGATTCGATGACTGATTCTTCAATTTAATGCCATACCACGTGATCTGGCCTGCGTCATCAGTTGGTGTAGGTGCGATCCAACTAAGTGTTATGGATCTCTCGCTTGCAGTGCCGCTGAAAGTTGGCGACTCCGGAACATCTTAGAGGAAAACAAGCAAAGACGAATAAGCATTAATATTGCGTTTTTTATATTAAAAATGATAATTTCAACACGAACAAACATTAAAGGTTGGAAAGTAGTAAGGAAAGGATAAAAAAAGGATGGATGGAAGGAAGGAAGGAAGGAAGAGAGGGATGAAGGGATAGGTTTAGGGAAAAAGAGACGAAAAAAACCATTGTTAATAGAGAAAACGCAGCAAAATACACGAAAAAAAACTAAGAAAGAAAAAAAGGAAAGGTTCCATTATATAGAAATCAGAAATGTCACATAATTACTTACTCAGGTTCACCGTCACTTTCCCCGATGCCTCATTCATTCCTCCACTTGGCACGTAGTTTGGATACGTTGCCCTACACGTGTAGAACGTGTTACAGACCACAGCTCGTGTGNTTGCCGACAAAGGTGTCCAAGTGACAACAATACTGGTCGAGGTGGTAGCTTTGGCTGTAAGAAGCGTTGGAGAACACGACGGAGCTGCGTAAAAAGAGTTTTGAGATTGCTTTGTTTCACTTCAAACATATGGTAACATTTAGGATATTTTTGAAAACAAATTCTTTATTCCGTTTTCTAAAAAGTTCTCGTCCACAAGTAGCGCTTTCGAATCGTTTGCACCGTCCACACGTATCCGTTTTCAACCGTCCCCATCACAGTTCCCTGCGCCATCTTGAAAGGTAGCCGTGCCTTTGCATCAAAGCGAGACGAACGGTGAGCTTGTAATGTGATGGAAACGTGTTAGAAAAAGGTCTCTATCATTGCAAGCTCAACGTTCGTCTCGCTTCGATGCAACGGCTAACGTTCAAGATGGCTCAGGTGATCAGTCGATGTTTAAGTCAATGACTCAATGTTTACCATCTTCCAATGTTCTTTTGCTTGAGGCTTTACTCTCTGGGCCATCATACAGAGTATTCCTTACTAATACCGTTACAGTATACCAAGTATATTTCTCCAGTGAAGTCAACGTCGTTGTTTTCACATCTCCATTTACACGAGCGGTCTGACTAACCCCTCCTCTAGGAGCGTATTTGATCGTGTATCCATCCAGTGGTCCATACAGCGTGTCATGTTCTGTAAACTAACGAAAGGCAAGTGACAGTGAATCAATTATCAAACCGGCAACTTAATGTTAGTTTCTCTTTCTTTTCTGTTTTTTGTTGTCGGTGAAAATTTGCAGCATCTATCATCTCTATTGGTGCGCGCTTCGAGTTTTCAAAATGTTGCAAAAAAAAATCCAAATCAAACTTTCTCCAAGAAATGATCTTATTGTCACAAGACAGTGTTGCCGTTGTTGCTGCGTTACACGATCCACACTGCACCTCTCGCGCCGGTAATACGACAAAAATCTAAAATTGCGGCAAAAGAAAGAATATATCGCAAAATGTACATGTATCGACAGCTTTTGGGTCTTTTCTTTGTTTGTGTGTAGCACGTCACGAAATACGATTTATCCATGTGAGTTGTGCCATTCTTTGGAATCAATTCGACTGCATGATCTTACGGACCCTTACGTACCTCCCAGTTGACTTGAATGCTCTGTGACGATTTAGGAACTAAACCAGTTATGACAGGAACACCGGTAGGCTCTGGAGGAAGGAGGAAAGGACATAGATTGTATTAAGGGAAGGTAGAGATCTGTTACTAAAGATACGATGGTGGTACCTCTATTAATTAAGCGGGAACCTTCGAATCCTTTTCATGGTGATGATATGCAACTACATAGGGAATTCACAAATGATTGTAAGACTACTGTAATTGATGTTTGAGATAGAACACATTTACAGTGATCATCCATTCAAAATGCTGCATCCCAACACTGTCCAATTTCATAGTTGTCCAATTTCATAGTTGTATCATATATTTTCAAGCAGTTTCACTCATACGCGACTGGATAAATTGGCTCTCACCCTCATTACTTAGACTAGCTACTTACTGGCGATTGATGTCCTTATAACTTGCAAACTGCTCCATAACCCATAGCCAACGACGCTTATCGCCCTCATTTCCACAGAGTAGTTTGTGTGAGGCTTGAGATATGCCAAGTTATAAGAAGATGATGTGCCTCGAACATAGATAAGGGGATTTGAAGACTGATTCTTCAATTTAATGCCATACCACGTGATCTGGCCTGCGTCATCAGTTGGGGTAGGTGCGATCCAACTAAGTGTTATGGATCTCTCGCTTGCAGTGCCGCTGAAAGTTGGCGGCTCCGGAACATCTTAGAGGAAACAAGCATATATGAATAAGCATCAATGTTTTGTTTTTATATATTAGATGTAATAATTTGAACAAGAACAAACATTAAAGGTAGGAAAGTAGTCAGGAAAGAATA